CCGCATGCACCAGGGACCCTTGGCCGCACCTTCGAAAAAAAAAAACCGGGCCCACACGCCTAACTCTCTAAAGCCTCCTAAATTCCCAGGTAGCACATGGGTAGTTCTCTAAATTAGGGTCCCCTGTTTAGGTCACCAAAATACTACGGCACCCTTTGTAAAAAAGGTTTAGACAACTGCCCAGATCCAAGGAACGGAGTGTTGGGAACATCGAAAATCAGCGAATCCTCTAAGCTGATCACGGGCTTCGCTGCCTTGGGAACCTGGACAGTGCATATGAAACTGTATCGTTTTATGGTAATTATGTCATGTTGCAGTATCATTAACATATAGTATATTATAACATATAAGATATTGCTGTAACATATTATGCCATAGTTTGTGCTATGATGTCATACTATGCTATACTGTATGATTTTACATCCTACTATGTTCCATTATGTTATGTTCGTCGTGTTATGTTATATAATACCATATTACATTGCATTGTATTATTCCCAAGCCTCGTCGTCCTCTGTAAAGAGCTTCTGGATCCATCCCACATGGCTTGCCTGCTTCACCGCTTGATGGCTTAAGCTAGACTTTAGGGTCTATGTGGGTGGCAAAACAGTCCCGACTACCATCTGAAGGGTCAATGCTAAGGATGCGGGTGCGGGTGTTGCGCATGATACTTATACTGCTGGTGGTGTTATCGCAGGTGGAATTCCTGGCACGTGCGGATCATGACTAGGAAAGGCGCTAGTAAGAGTGATATAAAAACGAACGACACACAGAAATCTTCCGAAGCGCACCCAGCTGCCGGGCACGAGAGGGCGTTCTTGGCGATCTCCTCTGTAGCGCCCTGCCCTGGACTCGCGACATGGATGAAGGTATTGCGGACCTGAACGGCCTCTGGAGGGTATGCATGTTCGTCGGCCGCATCTTGTGGGATGGAAATCTCTATGTGACTCTTCCCAAAGCGCGGCACGTGGCCACCGTGGCCCTGGGGAGGCGCTTGAAGGGCGGCGGAAGCCTTCGCACCACGAATCTTCACATCCATGGCGTCCAGGGCCGGTGACATCGGCCAGGCTACGGTCCTACAAGGATTCAGCTCGGCGTATCACTGTTCATGGAGCCGGCAAAAAAGAGGCGGTTGGCACCATGAAGGGCGAAGAGAGAACTTAAAAAATCTCTTGGCATGAGTCCGACAACGCCCCGAAGCCCTACCGCGAACCGGTGCCCTGAGGTTTAGAGGTAGATGTCAGCCACAACACCTAATCACAAGTCAGCTTCCGTCTCCACAAAAAAGCCGAGCAAAATCAGCCCAAAGATATCGAAAATCCAAAATCCCAGGCAGACGGGCCCTGAAGCACGGCGTAGGTTCTGGCACCTTCAATGCAGAAAACTACCAAACACAGAACGCCTTCGCACCAGTATTTATGATGCCCTGAAACCCCAATATCAAAGATGGCATCTGTCCAGAGTACGCGGCAAGCCCTAGCCGCTAGCCCCATGCCCAAAAACTCTGAACTCTCAAAGCCTACAGCCTCATAGACCCTAAACCCTAAACCTTAAACCCTAACTAGAACCTAAACCCTAAACCCTGACTATAACCTAGACCCTAAACCCTAACCAACTGATAGGCTAAGTCCGAGGCAGGCCAGCCGCCAGGGAAGCCATGTCATTGGCTCCTCTGCTCTTCGGATCTCTTCGGCGTAGATTTTGATTCCACGGGGTTTAGGGGTTTGGGGGGTTTAGGGTTTTTGGGGTTTAGGGGGTTTAGGGGGTTTAGGGGTTTTGGTATCACTTCTTAGTTTCATTATTGCTGGTACTATTTTTATATGTTACATCTATATAATTCTTCTTATTGTTGTTAATATTAGTTTTTTTTGCCACTGGTCTTAATTCTACTCCTTCTACTACGCTGTGATGTGTTGGAGAGTTTTAGCACGTACGTCTAGGAACTTGTCTGCGTCTTGTAGGGGGTTTCTGGGTTGCCAGCCTGAAAGTTTGCTACCGCTAAAACATAGTTCCCAGCCGGTCAGCAACAACAAATTGCTGCTTGGATTCTAGGGTTTAGGCACTGCGCCACTGGAATCAGCAGCCCAGCAATCGTTGCGTGGGTCTTGGTGGATTCCTTCATTCCCGACCAAGGCTCCTAAAGCCTATCTAAACCATTCTGGGTGAATTTGCCGGTGCAACTATGTCGGTATTCCGTTCATGCACTGCATGGCATCATAAACTCTGTGGCTCTTAGACCTGCGCACCTCAAAGCTAACCCTAAACCCTAAACCCTAACCCTACTACTCCGACTCTTGGTCTGCGCCAAGGCGCCGCACCCGGGGCATGGGTCTGGAGACGTGGTGAGACAGAGGAATGGTTCAGGGCCTCGGGCTTAGGAGCTCCGAGTTGGTAATCAATAGAAAGATCCCCATTAAAACAAAAAACGATCCCATACCCTAAACCTAACCATGAACCCATCTGAACCCTAAATGTAGGCTTTTCGATTCTTCAACTTCTGGGAGCGACGACTCATGCTTGGCCTTCCCCGGGTTCGCTACTGGAAGGTCTCACCCGGAAACCGGTGAGTACCTTGAGCCAGGCAGAAGATGGCCAAAGGCCTCAGTCGAACCCTACAGCCCTAAACCCACAAAGCCTGAAGCCCTTAGTGTGCTATTGCCACCACCCTAAACCCTAAACCTACAGCCCTAAACTCATACAGCCCCTGAATGGCGACTACTGAGTCGCTCCAGAAAGCTCCTCAAACATGAAGCTATTCCTGTCCCCTGATTGATTTAACAAACGTTGTAGTCGGCGGCATCCCAAGTACTACGACTTCTACTGCTGCTGCTACTACTGCGACGACGACGACAAATGCTCCTCCTACTCCTACTGCTACTCCTAC